CCCAAACAGACGTTATAGGTTAATGTGACAATAATTGGGATCCAGCAGCCAAAATTGTATAAACCTACATCACAACAAGCAACACAACTGACTAAAACATTCAAACAAGCATAAAAATTAATTTCAGAAAGACTCCAACAAAAAAGTTGTAGTAGATAGTAAATTTGAAAAATTGACAATGATGTCAACAAAAACAGTTTTTGTCGTTGATAGTACATACAGTTATAGTATATACACTTTTTCGATTAGTAAAAATTAAGTAAATATAATACAAGGGAAAACAAAATAGAATTTACAGTTCAATATTATATAGTTAGATACCAAATGGTTGCTAATCTCTTGAAATTGGTCTCGAGCGTACCTGGTGATAGTTATTTCAGAAATGCGAGTTTTGGGCATAAATCGGAATTCCATTGATATCCAAAAGTGAGATTAATGTAAAGAAAACAGATATTTAGGTGAAAAAGTAATGTTTTATTGTAATGAAATCTCACATGGAAACAAGACCAATATCAAAATATTATTTTTTTGTAGAGACTATTATTGATATGGAAGTAGACAATATAATCTGTTAAGTTAAATCGGTTGATTCGACATACAAATTCGATTTGTATAATAATAATTATAGTTAGATAGTAGATGGTTTATATGCAGTTGCTATAAGTCCAGGCTAAACCTTTGATATTGTATATGTTTACAAATAAGGAGATATGCTATATGCCAATGCGACGGCTAGACGATTTCACCTGTGACCAAATGGCGTTTACAAATGACTATACATTTGTCATGGTTACGTATGAATGAGCTTGAATCAAATAATCTCTGAAAAATATCCCGTATTTTCATTTGTATGTTCGGAGATTAATGTTGAGTCCATTTCGATGAATCTAGTATACATCATTGTTTAGGGGGCCAGCTCAAACCCGCTTCCGGGAGCGGGATTTTCTCACTGCTTTGAAGACTCATTGGTGGCTTTCGACTGTTTTCTGCTCTGTGTCGGGTTGTTGTCTCTTTGGCACATTCCCCGTTTCTATTCTCTATTTCTCTATTTCATCGGTTTCAACATGCCTATATATCGAAGTATTTCTGTATTCGGATAACCCATGCTAGTTAATAAGCTTTGTCTACAGTTTATTATAGTATTTTTTCAGCTCCTTGTTTTTGTCCCTCCTAACCTCTAAAAGTACGTCTTAATTATGCGTTTTAACAAAGAAAGTGCACAAATTATGGTCCTCAATGCTTTTCAACTTCACACTCGATTTGGCCTTTCCGCTTGTTTATTCGAGTGTCACTAATGAGTCTTTTTAAGACGAAACGCGCGTCTCGCGTACACAATTATAAGCCTGGTATCTTTGATAAGTTTTTATTACTGGCTTTACAGTATTTGCCATTTTCCGTAATGGAAACCGTATGGAAAAGAGAACCTTTAAGTGTGTAGGTACCAAAGTTTGCGTTCTGTTGTCTTTGGTAAATGATGCCATAATCATACATATAGTGGTTTTTTGGGTGAAAGTTCGGACCATAACAGCAATCAAAAGATATAAAAGAAGAAACAATAGAAATTATTATATTTAAGACAAGATGTAAAAATGGTTAATCATACACACGCTATATCTTTTTTACATGAAAGATTTTAAGAGAGAATCTACAATAACCTTTTAGAGCTCTCACAGCTATAATGATCTTCATCATGCTGCATGTAATCAATATCGATTACGGTATAAGCTTTTTCTTTTATACCCTCTTTTATGTCTTCTTCAGCAATCGTTTCTAACTCATATACAAAATCTGAAATAAAAAATATAAGTTTTAAAAGCAACAAGGCCAGGAGAAATATGAATGCAAGTGTACTTTTCAAACCGTTATTCATAATTTGTAAATATGTAACTCCTGATAATATAATCAATTTAGATTCGTTCATTTGGTAAAAACAAAATAGATCCGTTTGAACGATTTCCAAATTTCGTATTAGGAATGACATTTTAAATTTATTAGGTTCTTGTGGGCGCAAGTAAAAAAAATTACTTTTTTTAGAAAAACTATCTAACTAATCAAGCATTCGATACATATCATCCGAATTAATAACATGACTGTAAATGCAGATTTAAATGCATGCATTTATTATTTTAATCTTTGTTTAATTTGTTCAACGATATAAAGCTGGACCAAACAGTGCAAATCATTAACATGTTGCTGCTAATTTATTTCTTATCAATAACAGAAAAATATATATGCATATTTAACCTGTAGCAATTGATAGACTTGAAAATTATTTACAAAACTACCTTCAAACTGTCTTATGACAGGATTGATGACTATTTTAATATTTACAAGACGACCTTCAAACCGTTCAGCGACAGGTATGCCGATTATTTACAAGACAACCTTCAACCTGTCTAATAATAGGATTGGTGATAATTTACAAAATGACCTTCAATTTGTCCAAGTATAGGATTGGCGATTATATATATAAGAAAATATCCCCAATCTTTCCAAAGACTGTTGGCTATTATTTTACAAAACTACGAACTACGTTTAAAATGTCAATATATAGAATTAGCATTTATTTAAAAAACGACATTCAAGCTTTCCAATGACAGGGTTGGCGATTATTGACAAAACGACTTTCAAATTGTCCAACGATAAGGTTGGCAATTAATTACAAAACGACACTTTAAACTGTCCAACGTTAGGGTTGGCGATAAGTTACAAAACGATATCAACACTGTCCAATGACAGGAGTGGCGACTATTTACACGACTACAAGACGCCTATCACACTTTTCGATGCTAGGGTTGGCAATTATTTGCAAGAAGACCAACAGAATATCCAATGCTAGGGTTGGCAATTATTGACGCGCCTTGTTTTTTTCATATGTGTTCTGTTAAAAATTGTTGCCTTATTAAGATTTGTAACTTATGTTTTTCGTCTAAATTATGTTCTATTAATTTACTGTTATGTTAAAAAAGTCATATTTTCATATTATAAATCTTTTTTGGTTCCAGTTTTTAAAGACGATAGTTCATGATGTATGTTGAACTCTAAAAGTCCTTTTGATTTATTTTTTGAGACATTTGGTTCTTTCTCGTTGACGTATACCCCACATAAACATAAAGGATATGAAGTATGTATTCTAAAAAAAAAATATCAACCAAATACCAAAGAACGAAGATCTGATCTTTTACAGGTAAAAATACGACCTTCAACAATGAATCACCTCGATGTTTATCTATGTCATCGTCGTTCTTCTTGACAAATCCAGTCATTTCAACGATGTACAAAACATCGCCAAGTATTCAAATATAAAACAATTTCGGAATGTGAAATATATGAATAATACAATATACCATTCGATATTCCATCATAAACAAGCAGTATGGATCAAAGAGTTATCTTCAGAAAATTATATATTCGTAGCTGTTAATTGAGCACCAGTTACACAATTCTTAAACCGGTCCGCTGAATGACTTCAAGTACGTGGTAGCACTTTCTTCTTAATTTTGAAAATTATTTGTTGATGGCTGGTCTTTGATTGCTTCTATTTAATCCATTCTCTACTTTTATAATCGAGGGAAGATTTAGAGCTTCAAGCCTTTACATATTGTATTGACATCTGTCTTTGTTGAAAACTGCAAGTTGCCCTTTAGATGTCTGATTCACGTTTATCCCACACTTCCTTATGGGTTGCTGTCTCATTTACAAATAACCTACGCTTCCGTCCAGGTTGCTGTCTCATAGACGTATACCACATACTGCTCTCCAGGTTGCTGTCTCATTGACGTTTATCCCACAATTCCTTTCAGGGTGCTGGGTCATTGACGTATATCCCACAATTCCTTTCAGGGTGCTGGGTCATTAACGTATATCCCACATTTCTTTCCAGGTTGCTGTCTCATTTATGTATACCTTTTATTTATAAGTATCGCCTTTATTTGTTTTACATTCTGGTATACATAAATTGACGGAAGAAGGATCAAGAAATGAGCAGAATTTTCTGCTATCTGTTAGCGGCAGAGCACAGAATATAACACATTAATTTCAGTGACATCTGCTATATGTCAATTTATGGCACAAATTACCTTTATAAAAGACAACAAGTAAGATAAGCTCAAAAGGATCGATGATGAAATGTTTTTGTTTTTTAATGCGAGTGTATGTGTGTTGCTAATTTTAAAAGAATTTTTATCCATATCTGCATCCATTACCATTTTGTAGTTTAATTTCCTATCCTTATATAATAATTTATTCTTTCATGTAATGTTTTATCATCTTTTGACATTGTTTATTTAAACTGTATCACGTACCAAGGTTTGAATTGTAATTGTTTCTGTTATTTTCCATTAATTGAAATATTACCGTTAAATAATATTCCGTTATCTACCAGAACTTAATGTGTGTTTTAGTATCTATGTCATGCTATTTAATGATGTATGATGCTATCAGTGCCAGGAAATGAAGAATTTAATTTTCAGCGAAATGTATTATTGTACCTTTGAAATGCTTTTTCCCTTCTGTGTTGTAGTTCTTGTGTATACTCGATAAAAGATATCGATTTAGCATTATCGATATAGTAAACTGATTGTTTATTTTAGAAATATGATACCGATTGTGTATAATCGATATATGAACCGATTGTGTAAAATCGATATAGAATACAGATTGTGTATTACCGATATGGGATACCGATTTTGGGGTCTACGATACGGGCATCTATACTGAACTTCCAAAGTTACGTTAGAGACCAATATCTTGATATTAGAAACGATTCTGGGTATTAGATACAAAATTAGACTACACAGGACAAGAGGTTCTAAACTGAGTACATATAATTGCTCATTTATAAATTCAATTATATTTTTTCTTTTTTTTTAGGAATCAATTAGAATTAGACGAGAAAGATAAAAGAACAGACGAAATTGTAGAAGAAAAAAGAAAATTTGACTCGATCGGTAGACATAGAGTGCCAGGATTTGTGAAAGGACGATTTGACTCGATAGGGAATGCCGGCAGATTCTCTAGCTTTGTAAAGAAAAATGATGCAGATGATGATAAAACCAAACGTGGATTTGATCGAATAGGATCAGCTGGTTAAGCGGATTTGTTAAGCGGCAATTTGAATCTATAGGCGGAGGCAGAATGAGTGGATTTGTGAAAAAAGACGACGACTTACAAAAACGTCGATTTGATTCTATAAGCGGAGGTGGAATGAGCGGCATTGTAATAAAAGGACGACGAGGACATGGAAAAACGGCGATTCGATTCTATAAGCGGAGATGGTATAAGTGGATTTGTCAAAAAGGACGACGAAGACAAGGAAAAACGGCGATTCGATTCTATAAGCGGAGGTGGTATGAGTGGATTGGTCAAAAAGGACGATGATGACATGGAAAACGGCGATTTGATTCTATAAGCGGAGGTGGTATGAGTGGCTTTGTCAAAAAGGACGACGAAGACATGGAAAAACGGCGATTCGATTCTATAAGCGGAGGTGGTATGAGTGGCTTTGTCAAAAAAAATGACGAAGACATGGTAAAACGGCGATTCGATTCTACAAGCGGAGGTGGTATGAGCGGTTTTGTAAAAAAAAGACATGGCTAAAAGAAGATTTGATTCAATCAGCGGAGGTGGAATGAGCGGATTTGTCAAGAAGAACCACGAAGACATACATAAACTTTCCGCTACTAGGGTGGGTGATTCTTTACAGGAAGACCCTCAAATTCTGTAAAAAAGTTTCTGTATTTTCGCTTATATCATTATATCCTGATATAAAATATGATATTTAAAAAAAGAATCAGTTTAGTAAGTGTGGCTGAAATAAATGCATTACCTGGTTTTTTCTTTCTGTTTTCATTTCAGCGTACAGTAGGGCTGTTCGTCAGTGTATATCAATTCGTTTGATGTCGCACCCCATGTCTATTAAAAATTGCACAAATTCTTCCCGCTCGATCTGTGTTTGAGGCAGATATCGACAGCGACAAGTTTCAATTAGCGGAGTAGCACCAGAATAATTAATACAATTGATATCTATTCCACACGACATGATGATTTTGGCGCGTTTAAAATTATTATGACGTATTGCTTTAAAAAGGCTTACTATTTTCTCATACGGCTTGTCATTACACGTTGATGCCAATGTTCCCATGTTGAGTGCTCGTTTCTAAAATTGACAATTAAGTTTAACATGTTTCCATTTCAAAAGTTGTTTATTCAAATGTTGTTTGCAGAATTTTCATCTTGGATTTGTTAAATTTTACAGTTAGCACCCACTGATAATATAGTGTGAATGTTTTATTAGGGACGAAATCGATAAATATGTGATAAATTAGAATTTAGTAAATATGCAAAGAAAAAGGCGTTTACAGTCGCTTACAATGAACAATATATCTCTGGCAAGAAAAAAAAATCCGAAACTTACGATCTAACGGAATATGACGCAGGAGTTTCAACGTGTCATAATATTTTATTAATAAGACAAGATACAATGACAAGGCGAAAAACATCCCTATTAGTGTTTTAGTTGATATATTATTTCTTCTCTAATGTTTTTTTTTTTTATCACAAGATAGTATTTCATTGTATTGATCATTTGTCACTTCATTTTATATACTATTTCGTCAATTTGCATGAGAAATGTCTAAGTATGCCGATCACCCTTGTACAAAGGTATCCCTACATGTACCAAACGCTTTCAATATTACACAAAAACGATGTTAAATGGTTCTTCGGTTTTGGTATCCATTGCTGATAACTGCTCCATAATAAATGCTTGTTATGAAGATATTTAGTAGAGAACTTTTCAAAACGAGAAAACATACTGGACATGTTCATTGAAACATTTGTTTTCACATGTGGTTTTAATGTAAAAGTTAAGACTAAGTAATAGATGACCTATTTATGATTTTGATATTCGAAATTGATTTACGAACGAAAAGAATCGGGCAAATTTTTTTTCCTGGATCATCAGTGCTTTTTATTTAAATATGAATAGATGTATAACGCACACATAGATATATAAAACGTGATAATGAAGATGGTATTTCTGCAAATAACATCAACAAAGACACCGATATATGTTACTGTTCATACAGGGAAGACAGAACTATACTTCCTTGGATACAATGTGTTTGAAATCTTTTTTTTATCATAATCTATATATTCAAATTTGAAAGGTACCTTGAAGAGAACAATACATTAAAAGATATTCATTGATCCCGCATCATGATGATCAAAACGAATGCAATGAAACTGTTTAAATTCTTAGATCTTTAAAAATAGGAAGAGTCATGTGATCTGTAATTTAACCGATTGTTTCCTATTCCCTATGGTGAATAATTTGACTGAGTGTGGATTCGCATTGCGGTTGGTTTATGCAAAGGAGACAGGAGACACTCGATTCTTTTTTGTGGTCATGCAATTCCCTCATGTTTTAATTGTTATCTTGATTTATATCTTCCCAATCGAATCATCACATTTGAACATCGGTCAAATAGTGTTGCCTATTTATGAGTTCAGATTGTCACCCCAATGCAAGATTATTTAAGGCGGTTAAAAGTGATTAAATTAACATAGTAAAGCACTACAAAATTGAAAATGAATTATGGAATACACATATTAGTGTGATAATTGTTTTCTATATGTAAACATAAATTGTTGAATGAGTCATCGGTAAACATGCAGTTCTTACATTTGAGTACTGTATCTTTATGTATTTTGGTTCATCTATATATTGAATATCAATAATTTGTAGTTTTTTATTTGATTTTGTATCTCAGCTTAAACAGATGTATGTTCTCTTTAAACAGCACATATATTTACTTTAATAATTGTATTCAATTTACAGGCATTGGTGGGTTGTCAAATGTTTCTACTGGTCTTTGCACCTTGGTCCCGAAATTAAGAGGACATCTACCCTAGACTCCGTATACTACTGAAACTGATTTCACACAACATCAGATTCCCCAAGACAAAAATAACATTCTTTGTTAGTAAAGGTAGTTACTGTTCAGAGTTCTCCCAGACGATCCTTTCCAGGAAATATAATAAAGAGTTCTTTTCTACTATACTGAGTGTTTTTGATGCAAAAAAAAAAAAAACGCACAGAAGATATCAGGCTTATAAATTTCTACGCCAGACGCGCGTTTCGCAAAAGATAGATCTATGACAAAAATTTAAACCGCAAGATACAGTACGAAGTTGAAGAGCATTGAGAACCCACAATCCAAACGGTTTTGTGAAATACATCTAATTAATTATATATAAGGTAATCTATTTCTGGGGTATCAAAGTGCAATTAATAATATTTAACACTAAAAGCAGAGCACGACCAGACATTGGTCAAATTGAACACAGGGCAATAGTTTATTCTAATGCGCCACACAGTCTCAACAGCTAACACCACTCCATTTACTCACAACGTCACCCAATATTTGGTTGAAACTAACAGTTTATTAAGGAAATACTACCAAACCGAAGAACCAAAGACATCAAACAACTTCAAATTATGATATGACAGCAGGAAAAAAAGCTAATTCAAGAACCTTATATATGCATCTACATTATACGCAAGTATCTAAAAGAAAAAAAGAGGGTAAGAGTTACATATGGCACCCCCACCGTATTAAAAGTTCACAATAACGTATAACAGTTTATTCCGTAGGGGTACCATATGGAACTCTTTCCAAAAAGAGAACGAACGACATGGCCGTTATTTAGTAACAAGCCGGTAACAATTACAAAACAAATATTTTTCTTCTATGTAATATGTACATGTATGTGTGCGTAGTGTCACCTATTTGTTGTTTATAACAAAGATATATGTACGACAAATGTTTAAACATAATGGGCGATTGCAATTTGTTTTGTTTGTTTTCTAAAATAAACAGTGAAGGTCATGGGTCATTTAATTTGGGTTAAATCTGCAAATAAAAAGATAGGCCAAATTGTGCAATATTTGTTAGTACAGTAAAGTTTTTATCATTATCCAAATTTCCAAAATAGAATTAAGAAGATGTGGTATGAGTGCTAATGAGACAACACTCCATCCAAGTGACAATGTGTAAAAAGTAAACAATTTAGGTCAAAGTACGGCCTTCATCACGGAGCCTTGGCTCACACCGAACAGCAAGCTATAAATGTCCCCAAAATGACTAGTGTAAAACAATTCAAACAGGAAAACCAACGGTCTAATCTATATAAAAAACGAGAAACGTGAAACACTTACGAACCACACCAACAAACGGCAACCACTCAACAATAGGCTCCTGACAGGTGCATACAAATGCTGCGTGTTTAAACGTTTAAACAGGCGCCAACCTTCACTCTAACCTGAAATAGTAGTGACAAGCTTGTTTGATAATAAAGCCAACTAACGAAAAATGTTCACGCAACCCACATAACCACTTAAGTGACGCAAAGTATGAATACATGAAGTTTGGAGTGATCGAAATTGCTGACATATCTGCTATTAATTAAATTGGGACTGAATTTGCTGCACGTATGTGACATTTATGATATATATTTTACGTGCTTTACCTATGTATGTACCTTATGCATTATGTGTGTTTGTTATTTGGGTGCAATGCCAAATTGGATGGCAGAATTCTATCTATCTCCTCCTGCATCTCGGTAAATGTGAACATTTTCAACTCTGCAGACAAAGTCATCGTCATTTTGCATTAACTCTTCTTCATGATGTGTCTATAAATAACCTTCTGCCATTTATAGGGAATCTGCTTGGTATAAATCACATCTGCATTGAGCTATAGCCTTAACTACTGTAAACACTTCATAATCTGAACAACGTATGTTTGGAAAAACACAGTTCTAATCCCAATCTAGCCCAAACATACTTACAGCAGTAATCACGGATATTGCTTGTCACATACCTTTCAGACATGTTGGCATTTGAAAAGATGTAATGTAGAAATGATCATTTCTAAAAAAACATTTTGACACAACAAAAGTCTTGATCCAATTAATCAAGGCAATATTCTTTATCATAAATCTTGTCCTATCGAACAGAATATCTACTTGACTTAAACTGCTAAAAATGTTCAAATTTACTAGTAACTTAATTGACTAAACGGTATACTAAGGTACATTTCGATAACAAGACAGTCGACATGTCTGCACAAATTTAACAATTGTACAGATTTTGAATGCCTCTTAATATGTGACTTTACATATTTTAAAACCCCCCTTTAGCAAATAATTGATTTGCATACCTATCATGGACCAAAAACTGTCCTATCATCTTTTTTATACTACCCATTGTAACTTTTTTTTTTGAAGAATTTGTGCGATTTCTTTTATATATTTTGTTATAAAACATTTTTGTTACCCCACCACATTATATATGTGCCTGTTCCCAGAAAAAGAGCCTGTAATTTAGCGGTTGTCGTAAGTTTCTGTCTGTCATATTTGTATTTCGTTAGGTGTTTTTCATTCAATAGGCAGTTAGTTTTCTCGTTTGAATTGTTTTACATTTTGTGATGTCGGAACTTTTTATGACTTACTATGATATGAGTTTTGATTATTGTTGAAGGCCATATGGTGACTCAAAGTTGCTTACATTCTTTTGTGATTTGCTGATATCCTGCAATAGAGATTTAAAAGGAGCTTCTCGGGAACAATGAAAAGAAGCTAGCATAATCATTCAACTACACGGTCGTTTTTATAGATGATTTTGCTCTCACAAAATAATGCAAAGCTTGGTGACCATATTTTAAATGCATATATCTTATCGAATTTGAAATATGGGGTACCACAGAATACAGTTAAGTCTGTCTCAAATTGTGTCTTACATCTAGATATTTACAATTAAGAACAAACTTTACAACAAGAGAAATTATGTCAGCTTCCCAATTGTTAACTTTCCATTTTCATGTAGCAACATTCCAGCAGCGCCTGTTAATAGTGTAGCGTCTCATAGTTGACACGATATTCCAGAGTTTGCTCTTCCTAACATCATTTCTATGATAGAGAGTAAGTACTTACAAGGAAGCTATTTAATCATGGATTCAGTGGTAAAGTTTAAGGCATTCCTTCTAAAGTCTAACTAAAGCCATCACTGGTTGTCGACCGTTATGGAATACCTTTGACACATATGACCAAGAATATGTTCCAAAACTCGTTACCACAACCCCGTCCTCTTTTCTGTGATTGTGACATCACCGAATGTAACTTGTCACAGGATTTGTACTTACATAAACGGCACGACACGAGCCACATGAGGAGCAGGAACTAACCTTTCGAAATAACCTGAGTTCACCCCTGGTTTTTCGTTGGGTTCGTGTTACTCAGTGTTTAGTTTTCTATGTTGTGTATTTTGAACTTGTTTTTCTTGTTGTGTTATTTCGTTTTTTTGCCATGGCGTTGTCAGTTTGTCTTCCACGTACGAGTATTATTTGTCACCTTGGTATCTTCCGCCTTTTTTTTATACTTCAAAACTCATTCTTACTTTTCAAATTTCTTAGAGTTGTCTTTGATTTGTATAGATATCGATATGGTGGTAGCGCGGAGAGTTAATGGGACCATGAAATCAACTGAAGTAGTAACCTAGTAGTTTGCTCAACAAAGAAAAGAATGCCAGAAGGCTTTATGTGTATATTATAAAAATAAAGCAAAATAGTATTTGTATACTTTTTATTTGTGCTATAGGATAAATCTACTTTTTGTTTTGTTAATTCTACTTTCGCCATGTCTCCACATGTTACCTTGAAAAACATGATAAATAGAAAACAAATGAAACCATTTAACAAAATTTCATCAAACCCAATGGACGATTGTTCTTCGTTTCGATTGTTACTGATCCATTACTCTTCTTGAAACTTTGTATGTTCACGGCCTTTTACTCAACATTGTCGCAATGTACCTTGTAATTGTCTAGTTCAAAGCAGGGGTTCTTTGTTCGACAGTAAAACGTAATCGACACTATTTGAATCTTACAGTCACTATAACAAATTGGTTGACCGATACAATATGTCTGTGTCTTATCTCTACAGCAATATGTTTTCGCAGTCACAAATCTTTAGATGACAGAAAAGTCGGCTGACGTGTATTTTAACTGCTCGTACCCTATTCCCCTTTTGTGACATTTTGACATAGTGTGGATTTGTATTGCGAGTGATGCAGGCATCTTATCCTGTCGACAAACCTGACTCGCTCCTTTAGGAGTTCATGCGATTCCATCTGTTTTTTTTTTGGTTGTTTTTTTACCTTGATTTGTCTTTTCAATCAATTTTGATATTTTCTATTTAAAACATCAATGAAGTATGTATATTTGTGCCTTGATTTATAGCTCTTTGTAGTCGTCCAAGTAAAAAAACCAGGTATATGCGTACATGTATGTTGATTACCGAATTACCGAATAACAAATTGTTTACTTAATTTGAGATCTTGATAATTTTTGTTTCGTTTGTACTCTAAATTTTGTATATTTGATGAGTTTATTTAAATCAAATGAAGCAATGGGATTTCTGCAATTACAACAATTAATTATTTACTCTCGTATTTACAATTAAATACAATACACAACTATATTTCAATAAATACTATCGCTAACAGTTAACAACAGATTATCTACTAATTAACACAAATGAACTATTATCTAACTGTCTACTCTCTTGCAACCATTGGTAGCTATACTGAGCAGGTTTTAATGTTGATGACACATGATCCAGTTTTGAAAATGGGAAGTTTGGGCGCACGTTAATCTTGTTAAACCCACCAAAACGATGTGCCTGCACCAAGTCTGGTAATCTTGATTATACATACTGTTTCCAATTATGATTGGTACTTCCTGTAATCTTGCTATGCGTTATTACATGGTTAACTGTTAAAACTATGAACTATATGTGATTATTCAAACATTCCTTCTGTTTTTCGTAAAATTATCGTAAGCAATACAAGGGAACCTGCAACAAAATAGATCTAATAAAAGAAAGCAAACAACATAAGCGCTAAAAACGTTCTTGTTCCAGTATGGCATAATCAACAAAATTGTAAAAAACAGTTTCAAACGTTTTCAATCGAATGCTGGACTTGTAACGTTTGCATGACACAACGTTGTAGGATGATTGGTGTTCAGAATCCGTTGTTTCCATTCATGTTGAATGTATAGGTTTCAATTGAACTTGGTAATTCTTCTGTTGCCAAACTATCAAAGACTGTAATTAATACATAAGAGAATTAGTAAAAACAAATAAAAATTCTATCAATTATGTTAGCGAAACAATAAGTTGTCAAACAATTAGTCAAATGAATTGAATTTCGAAAAAATTGGTATCGGCAATATTTTAAGCAACATTTGTTATTATTGATGTCTGTCCATTCATGGCAAACCACATTGAATTAATTGGCTTTGCATTGAATCATAGAGAAGATCTCTTATCGATTTGTTTTCTAAAATCATGTGATTAAATTTGATGACACTCAAATTTTGCAGATTCTGAATAAACCTGCAAGCGGCAATGCATGACACGCATAATCATCATGTCTCAATTCATGATTACAGATTAAAGATTAAAACTCCTAAACAGTAACATTGAATCCGTATTCCCATAAAGTCAATTAGAGCATATTGCCAACACATGTGTTTATAATAGTAGATATTGTTCCATCCATCGTAAGTTTCAATAAACCATAAAACTAGTACCATTACCACCTTTTTCGTATTTTAGTAACAAGGATAGTGATAGAAGGGTGTTTATGTTGTTTTTCGAGGGATAGAGAACCTTAACTTATCCAATTACATGTCTGTAATTTTGCCTTGTTTCTTTGAATCGGTCTTCAATATGTCTAAAAATTACCGAACTCAAGTGTAAAGTGAACAAGGGAGAAGTCCATAAAACATGACGAAATCAAACGCTCAACTATATCATCCGACGGGACATATGGGAAATAACTGTCGTATTCCCGACTTAGTACAAGCATCTTCCGAAGAAAATGGTGGATTAAACCGGTTTTTATGACCTCCCAAATGCATAACGGTTGTTCTGCGGTTTTCATGTTGTGTCGACTATTATATTATTATGCATTTCTCTGTGATGAATGTTCTTGCGCGTGTTTGTGCTGTATTTCTGTCACGTAGTGTTGTCATTTTAGCAATATATTTTAACATTGACATAAAGCTGGAGGTTTGGCTAGCCATTAAACCAGGTTTAACCCACCATTTGTTCTTAAAATGTCCTGTACCAAGTCAGAAATATGGCAGTTATCAAATAGTTTCTATGTATGTTGGTGCTTGTTTTTGTTGCACTTCAGTGTTCCTGTTGTTCCTTTGTTTTCCTCTTATAGTTGATGTGTTTTCCTCGGTTTAAGTTTGTAACCCGGATTTGTTTTCTCTTAATCGATTTATGACTTTGGAACAGCGGTATACTACTGTTGCCTTTATTTGTTTATAGTTCCGTTACATTGCAAAATTGGGTGAGCTACCCAAACAGACATAATTGGTTAACGTGACAATAATTGGGATCCAGAAGCCCAAACTGTGCTAAACATATATATTACAGACTTACAACTGGAATCAACCTTCTTAGTACAACTGTTCCTCTATCGCTTATACAATTAAAAAAGATGGACGGAAAATACCAAAGGATAGGCTAACAAGTAAAGGTTTACAGTATAGGTAAATGTGTATATAAAGAAGTACATATATTAAGATGACATAAACCAGTTCTCGTCAAGAATATGATATAACTCACAATACGTATCTTTAATATGATTAAAAGAAGTAGTCCTAAAAAGTTAGTTTGTGATATGATATAAAGCAGTGGTCCAAAAAAAAGAATCTAGAATATGATAACAATTAGTGATAAAAAAATGTATATAATATGATTAAAAGTAGTGGTCCAAAAATTTAGTCTGTTTCATAATTTAAAAAAAAAAGTCCAAATAAGAGATTATGTAATATAATTAAAATTAGTGGTTCACAAAATGACAGAAAAAAAACCTGCTTAAGAAGGTTAAGACAAATTGTTCTCTTGAGCCAACAAGATATAATTAAAACAAGAAAACAATAAAACAACTCTGGCATTCATCAGAAAATATTACGACTAGATACAGAAAAATGCATGTCAACTTACCAGGGGAGTGCATAGTGATAAAGCTTCCGGACATTGGATCATTATTGTCCATGGCGTCTAATAATAAAATATTATTGCATTATGAAACGATTGATGTCTTTATATTTGAAAAAAGGCTTAACAAATATCAGTTTACATATGTTTGTCATAAGAGTTATACTTTGCTCTTTGTATGATCATATTTTTAAGCTTTCTTATGGTATGAGTTTTCGTGTGTTCATATGAGAGTAAAGTACTCATAAGCATATTTTAAGCCGTCAGCATTGCTCATAAGCAATAAAGATAAAAACAACTATTTTCGTTCTATTTTCGAAATTGCAAGCATTGTTATGACATTTGGAATACAAGGGTCCATATCCAGAGGTAAAAAAATAGTTTACCAATGTACGAACAAATCGCGTATATCGATTAAAAAGTGATAAATCAAAGTTACAAAAAATACCACCTACTATAAATATGAATTATGAATTTAACATATAAGAGAGGTATTACATCCAATTAAATTTTACCGTGTACAATATACTTTTAACATGTAATAATTTCTTATATCATCTCTTACCTTATTAGTAAGAGAAGTATGCTCGAATTTACTTTTTGCTGATTAATATTTCTGTAGGTGTTTTATATGTAGTATTTTAACAAAAGAGTTTGTATTAAAACAAAAGACACAACTATCATATAGTGTGCATCGTAGTGTTCTTTTCCTATTGTTCAAAATCAATCAGTAGTATATGTATGTTTCTTTCTATTAACTGTAACATGTCAAAAATTACATTCGAAATTTTTTAGTTATCTCTCTTTGTATAGAGTTCAGCAATTGAAGTTTTGTAATATGTCAAAAACTACATTAGAAGTTTTTGAGTTATCTCTCTTTGTATAGAGTTCAGCAATTGAAGTAAAATTTGGAAATTAAATAAAATTAAGAAAAAACAGAAAAGATAATTTTTATATTAGCATTTATATATTTTATTAAATCATATTTATGATACAGTTTGATTATTTTGTCCAAATATTATTTAAAGGTATTTCAAAATATTATTTACTTCATTCTAGTAATTAGTGTACAGGTAAAAACTGTTCACTACATTGTATGTTTTTACTATTGATAAATAACTGATCGACAGGTGTAGTTGTGTCTCAGTTTTGTGAACAAGAATATTTGAAGATTTAAGGTTGGTGTATTTTGTAAATATTTATAATGATTTTGAATATGACTGTTTTATATAAAAGAGTTTTATAAAATACAAAAAGAACAAAAATATGACATGTGCATGTAAATAACATTCTATATTTTTATCTGAAGTTTTGCAAATGCAAATATGATTTCGAAATTTGTATAATCATTTGAAAAATATAATTATAGTTTTATTGAACTAATTGATAGGCATTGTTGAGAAATATTTATACTATGAAAGATTTGTTTTACATTTTAAATATAAAAGGTTCTGATAAAGTCAATATTGTTCACAGGTAGATCTATGTGTTTTTCCTACTAGAGGATGATATTTTGAGGTGAAATTGTCTACCATTTCCTTATTTAGGGTATGTATATTGAATTGTAATTATGTGCCCTTGATTGATATTATGATTATGTTTAGTTAATTTTTGATATTTCTAATTGAAACATTATTGATTATTCATAAAAAAAATGTTGTTTACTTTGAAGACTTTCTCTTGTGTTCATATTTTGATTTGAGAAATGTTAAGAATTGTAATATTCAGAAAGGGAGATAATCGTGTTCTTATAGCTTTTATATAGCTTTGGATAAATTAATAGTTCTGATGTATTTAATTGATATTTGAAAAAGCAATCTTTATTTCAAGTTAAATTTAATTGAATTTATATCTGCATATTAATAGACTTATGATGTTTTGTGTTTTTCCATTTTTTTCACAAATATTGAACTATTCAGCGTTGCCAATAATTAATGTTATTTTTCGATATATGAATAATGTGAATATATGAATACAGTACAATAAATTCATGAACCTTACATTTGTGCTTTCGTAAGCCAAGTTTATCGTTTTCGGAGGTTACAAAAATGGCGTCGTCGACAGGATCACTATATATATATATAAAAAATTGGCAACGTTGGTTAGACAATATTTTCTAGGGGTTAAAGTGCTAGATATTACAAGCAAGATGGAAACTAAAGAAGAAAAGTTACAGAAAGAGGTAGACGAATTGAGTAAGAAATTATACCATATGCACAAAGAAAAAGGTGAAAACTTACAATTAAAGCAACAATTAGAACATAATAACAAAATCATTGAACAATTACAAAAATCAACAAAAACTGTATATGTTGCAAAAGAGAGACCGTTTACAAAATTATCCGGTAAAAGGCCCGAAAAAGACAAAGATCCGATAATAAGTGATTGGTTGGAAGATGCCCGAGAACATCTCGTTACAATACCAGACGAAAAAGCCAAAATTGACTTTCTTATGCAAAATCTAATATCTCCAGCTAAAGATGAGATAAGACTAAGACCGTTATTAGAAAGAGATTCTGCTGATAAAATTTTGCTTTTGATTCATAGTATTTATGATGGTGATGATTCCGTTAGTCAATTACAACAACTGTTTTTTCAAAGAAATCAAAAAGATGATGAAACTTTGCAAGACTATTCTTTGAATCTGATGAAAATATTTGACCAAATAAACAAGCGAGATAACACAGTTTTGGGTGATAAAGATAAAGTTCTTAAAGATCGATTTATTGAAGGTATTAAAGAACCACACTTGAAACGAGAAGTAAAACGATTCAGTTATGAGCACAAAACAATGAAATTTCTTGAGTTTAGACAAGAAGTGCTACTTTGGGTGAATGAAAATACACAAAGTTGGAAAGTAAAACTACAAATGCAAGATGCCGAAGTTGTTAGCAATCAAGCAATAAATTCATGAACCTTACATTTGTGCTTTCGTAAGCCAAGTTTATCGTTTTCGGAGGTTACAAAAATGGCGTCGTCGACAGGATAAAATCTGAACACACATCGAAAGACAATTCCGAAATATTAAAACTTCTCACAAAACAACAGGAAATGTTAGAAAAACAACAACAGCAAATTGATAGGTTGTCTAATGTTAAAAACTATAGTGATTCAACAAACAATGATGTATATAATAGCCATAAACCAATTATTTGTTATAATTGTGGTGGTAAGGGTCATAAACGTCCGGAATGTCCATCAGTTTTTCAAGCACAAAGAAGTGACGAAGATACACAGAAAACACATACGCGTGGACAGTTTAGAGGTAGAGGAAGAGGTTATCGTGGTAGATATAACCAAAGAGGTAACAGATATCAAGGTCGAGGAGCTGTTGTTCCTAGTGACTCAGAAGAGGTAAAAGAGTAGCTTCTACTGCGGTGAGTCGATCAGTAGAAGATACTACAGTACAAGTAGACTCCAATTCATTTCAAAGTAATATTTTTAAAAACATTGCTAGTAAAAGTCCAGAGACAGAAATTGTTGTTGAAAATCAACCAGTTATAGCACTTATAGATACTGGTTCCCAGGTTTCAACAGTTACTGAAACATATTTTAATACATTATTAGAAACGAAACCAATACTACATGATATAACAAGATGGATGAAAGTCACTGGAGCCAATGATTTACCTATCCCATATTTAGGTTATATTGAACTTAACATTTCAGTAGTGAAAACAATGATTCCGAATGTTGGTTTTCTTGTTGTGAAAGACACTGATAACAATAGTAAAAGTAGATTACCATTTTTACTAGGAAGCAATTTTTTTATGAAGATGAAAGAAACCTTAGAAGTTTATAATGAAACTGAAAAAAACACTCTTATTGGGAAGCAATTGTCAGGTATCTTAACTTTATACAATAATTCTTTTGACTGTGAAATAGATTCTCCAAAGATATCTTTTGTTAAGATAGCAGGTAGCAGTCCAGTACATATACCTGGAAATTCAATGAAGACAGTTATGTGTACAACCAGACAAAAAGACAATAATGAAAAGCATTGTGCAGTTGTTCAGTCATTACAAGGTAACCAAGGCTCTTTACCAAGAAACATTATGGTAGTTGATAGTTATGCTGAGATAAGTCAAGGAACAGTACCGGTACGTATGATTAATATAGGATTAGAAGATGTATGGATTAATCAGAAAACAAGAGTTGGTACATTACATTCAGCTTCACTAATACACGAGGTGTCACAGGACAATATTGACATTGATATAGATGAGACTCAAATTAACGTTCAAATAAAGAAAATAGATATTGCTGTTTGTAAGCAAGCTACAACAAATATAGAGAACAATAAGAAAATACAATTGAATGACCTCGACATAGAACAGGAAAACCTTACGCATGAACAAATAGAAAAAGTTAAAGACTTGTTAAACAAGAATACCGATATATTTTGTAAAAATGATTTAGATTTAGGATACACAGACATTGTAAAGCACAGAATTCTTACGACAGACGAGAAACCAATTGCGATTCCGCATAGACGTATTCCGCCTAATCAAATGGAAGAAGTTAGAGCACATATCAAACAATTGTTAAATCAAAATATTATTCGTAAGAGTTGTAGTCCTTATGCTGCGCCCGTAGTAATAGTCCGTAAGCATGACAAGTCTATTAGGCTGTGTGTTGACTATAGATTATTGAATAAAAAGACAATACGCGACGCTTATCCACTTCCAAGGATCGAAGAGGCATTAGACACTTTGCACGGAACAAAATTTTATACAACGTTAGATTTATCCCAAGGTTATTATCAAGTGGCGACCGATGAAAGGGATATTCATAAGACTGCATTTCGTGTTGGAACGGGAGGTCTTTATGAGTACCTAAGAATGCCGATGGGACTTTCTAATAGTGCGGCTACATTTCAAAAAATAATGGAAGCATGTTTCAATGACAAAAATTTTGAAATATTACTAATTTATTTAGATGATATTCTTATCTTTTCAAAGACAGTAGAAGAACAGTTAGAACGCCTGGAGTTTGTGTTTCAGCGACTAAGACAGCATGGTTTGAAATTAAAATTGTCTAAATGTCATTTCTTCAAGAAGGAGGTAAGATACTTAGGACACGTTATTTCACAAGATGGCATTAAAACAAACCCAGACAAAACAAAATCAATTCAAGATTGGAAAGTACCTACCACTGAAAAAGAACTCCGATCATTTCTAGGACTATGCAGTTACTATAGGAAGTTTGTTCCAAAATTCAGTAAGATAGCTGCTCCGTTACATTCACTCATTACAAAAACAAATGGAAAGAAGGGAAAATCAAAACAATTGAAGTTACTAAGCGCTAAAGAGTTTCAAGAAAAATGGGATGCGAAATGTTTAGAGTCGTTTGAAGAGTTAAAACAGAAATTAGTAAGTTCGCCTATTTTAGGTTTTCCTGATTTCAAAAAAGCCATTTCGTTTAGAAACCGATGCGTGTATAGAAGGTTTAGGCGCTGTTCTATCGCAAGAACAAGAACAAGGAACTGTTGTCATAGCGTATGCATCACGCAGCTTACATCCGAATGAAAAGAATATGGATAACTATAGTTCGATGAAACTTGAAATGTTGGCTCTAAAATGGGCTGTGACCGAAAAATTCAGAGACTATTTGATAGGAAGTAAATTTATAGTTTATACTGATAACAATCCTTTGTGTTACCTGCAAACTGCAAAACTGGGTGCGACTGAAATGAGATGGGTTTCTCAACTTGCACAATTTGACTTCGAGGTCAAATATAGATCAGGACGATCTAATGTCAATGCAGATGTATTGAGCAGGAATCCATTAGATGTTGAGACAAATATCAGACAAATAGTACAAAGTTCTTCTTTAAACAAATTGCGAGAGTGTAAAAACAACAATGTACAACACATGCATATCAACCAAATAAATTTGACTGATCAAATAGAGACAATGTCAACATTTCCAGAGTATACTGTAGATGAAATAAAACAATTACAAAGTAGTGATAATGTTCTCTCTGTTGTTTTAAATTTTGTAGAGCAGGGTAAACTGACTACACAGATGCTGATGAAACAAACGAAACCAGTGAAGAAGTTACTGAGGAAATTTGATTCATTGGTGATAGACAATGGTATTTTATACAGAAAAATCAGTGACATAGAATGTGGTGAGAGTAAACAGTTAGTAATACCAGAAACATTGAAACACTACGTTCTTGAAACACTACACAATTTATCCGGACACCAAGGTACAGAACGAACATTAGCGCTATTGCATAAACGATGTTACTGGTCAGATATGATAAACGATGTAAAACATTGGATAAAAACATGTGAACGTTGTTTAGTTGCTAAAAATCCTTTACCAAAAGTTCGTCCATCAATGGGTTCGTTAATAGCATGTAAACCATTAGATATTCTAGCTATGGATTTTACAGTTTTGGAGAAATCTTCAGATGGTAGAGAAAACGTTTTAGTACTAACTGATGTGTTTACTAAATTTACACAAGCATTTCCGACGAGAGACCAGAAAGCAACAACTGTCGCTAAAGTTTTGGTTAAGGATTGGTTTTTGAAACTAGGGATACCAAAACGGTTACACAGTGATCAGGGTAGGAATTTTGAGGGTGTAGTGATACGTGAACTCTGTAGAATATATGACATTAAAAAATCACGGACAACACCGTACAAACCAGAAGGAAACGCCCAAACTGAGAGATTTAATAGGACAATGCATGACAGATTAAGAACATTAATGCCAGAAAAGAAAGCTAAATGGCCTGAGTATCTGCCAGAACTAACTTTCATGTACAATGCAACACCGCATTCTTCAACTGGATATACTCCATATTTCCTGATGTTTGGTCATGAGCCAAGACTCCCTATTGACAATCTTTTTCATAATGATATGACGGAAATAGACACCGATTTAGATATTTATTTAGCTAATCATCAAAAGCGAATGACTGAAGCCTTGAAGACAGCTAATGAGAACATTCACAAGAAAGCGAGTGAAAGACAAGAAGTTATGAATAGAGGAACAGATGACAAGTCTATAGAAATTGGTTCGAACATCTTATTGAAGAAACATGTACAGGGACGAAACAAAATGCAGGACAATTGGCATCCAACACCGTACAGAGTTGTTCACCGTTTTAAAGACAATGTGTATGGGATTCAGTTAGCGGATGGTAGTGGTCCCGTTAGGAATGTCACTAGAAGAGAAATATGTGACACAGGAAAATTAGACATGATGCAAAACTCAAGTTCAGATATTACTGAGGACAGTAATTCGAGTTTTGGAGGATGGAATGTGACCATTGTTGACCCGATTCCGTTACCAATTCAAATAGAACATCAGGAATCTGGCGAAGATGAACAAGATGTTACAACAGCTAGCATAGATATGACACCACCGGTAGATGATGACAATTCAAGAAGGAGATCAAAACGAACAAACGCTGGAAAACATTCAAATCCTTTTAACTTGCCAACGTCTGTCTTGTTAAAAGAAGCATCTGTTCATGCAAACATAGAACCAGTGAAATTTGAACAATTGGGTGAAGCAATTGCTGCATTAGGAACTAGTCTTGGACAGAGTTTAGGACAAACGCTCCAAGAAGGATGGTTAAAGCATAATATGTCAAACAATTAGATTTATGTTGAAAAATGTTAATTTTGAGAGAAAGAATATTTTATTTGTATAGTCAAACGATCACAATATTTTTATGCTAGATCATTATAATAACAAAGATAATGATATTGAATATGTAGTTGTGTATTTTTATATTGTTTGTTGAGGGCAACAAAAAGAAAACTAGGCAGATTTGTAACATGTCAAAAATTACATTCGAAATTTTTTAGTTATCTCTCTTTGTATAGAGTTCAGCAATTGAAGTTTTGTAATATGTCAAAAACTACATTAGAAGTTTTTGAGTTATCTCTCTTTGTATAGAGTTCAGCAATTGAAGTAAAATTTGGAAATTAAATAAAATTAAGAAAAAACAGAAAAGATAATTTTTATATTAGCATTTATATATTTTATTAAATCATATTTATGATACAGTTTGATTATTTTGTCCAAATATTATTTAAAGGTATTTCAAAATATTATTTACTTCATTCTAGTAATTAGTGTACAGGTAAAAACTGTTCACTACATTGTATGTTTTTACTATTGATAAATAACTGATCGACAGGTGTAGTTGTGTCTCAGTTTTGTGAACAAGAATATTTGAAGATTTAAGGTTGGTGTATTTTGTAAATATTTATAATGATTTTGAATATGACTGTTTTATATAAAAGAGTTTTATAAAATACAAAAAGAACAAAAATATGACATGTGCATGTAAATAACATTCTATATTTTTATCTGAAGTTTTGCAAATGCAAATATGATTTCGAAATTTGTATAATCATTTGAAAAATATAATTATAGTTTTATTGAACTAATTGATAGGCATTGTTGAGAAATATTTATACTATGAAAGATTTGTTTTACATTTTAAATATAAAAGGTTCTGATAAAGTCAATATTGTTCACAGGTAGATCTATGTGTTTTTCCTACTAGAGGATGATATTTTGAGGTGAAATTGTCTACCATTTCCTTATTTAGGGTATGTATATTGAATTGTAATTATGTGCCCTTGATTGATATTATGATTATGTTTAGTTAATTTTTGATATTTCTAATTGAAACATTATTGATTATTCATAAAAAAAATGTTGTTTACTTTGAAGACTTTCTCTTGTGTTCATATTTTGATTTGAGAAATGTTAAGAATTGTAATATTCAGAAAGGGAGATAATCGTGTTCTTATAGCTTTTATATAGCTTTGGATAAATTAATAGTTCTGATGTATTTAATTGATATTTGAAAAAGCAATCTTTATTTCAAGTTAAATTTAATTGAATTTATATCTGCATATTAATAGACTTATGATGTTTTGTGTTTTTCCATTTTTTTCACAAATATTGAACTATTCAGCGTTGCCAATAATTAATGTTATTTTTCGATATATGAATAATGTGAATATATGAATACAGTACAATAAATTCATGAACCTTACATTTGTGCTTTCGTAAGCCAAGTTTATCGTTTTCGGAGGTTACAAAAAATATACATAAGTGTTGAGCGCTCACAAACATGTGTGTAGCTCAGCCATATTCTTGTGTGCCTGTCCAAAGTCAAGAGCCTGAAAATCAGTTGTTGCCGGTCTTTTAAGGGCTGTTGTCATCAAAATGTTCGTTTCAGATCAAAATTGATTTACTATTGACATGTCTTTTTTTTATACTGATTAAAAGTATAGAATCAAAACTATATATAGACTTACAGTTTAAAATGCTAGACTTGTATCCACTTGAATAGCTGTCATTGGCAGGTTCTGTTAATTATGGAAATAGCATATAAATATACTGAAGAACTATGTAAGGCTAAACAAAGATGTTCATGTAGTCAAAATTCTCCTTTTAAAACCTATGTGAAAAAATAAGTCTTTCATTGTCTACATTGGTATTTGGTATGGCGAATAGCATAATAACATAACACAAATGTCTCTAGGCTTAAGGATTTATCCAAAGAGCGTCAAAAAACAAACACAAAATATTCCATACTCGTCAGAGATATAGGCTTAAAATTGTCCGCTGGACCCCCGCTGTGCTTGTCAAACCATCATTTAGGCTCCAGTCAAAACAGTTTGAAGACCAATCAAGTACGAAGTTGAAGAACATAAAATTTAAATAAGCAATATGGTGTGTACGCCATAATCAGAAGTGGTAAAGCGGTGTTTATGATAAGTATTAGCTATACAGTGTACAATGTTCAACGAGAGGTAAAACAACCTCTACTATTTATCAACCTGATGATATGAACTTATGCTGTCCTACATTCTCGTGTCAATTTCTGTTCTTCGGATTAATTTAACACAGAAACTTCACCAAGAGTTAAATGAGATATAATATTGTGGAATGCCTAGAAAAACACATACACGTACATAATTTGAAAGCAAAACATCATAACAAAAACCTTATATTATTGTTTGAAACTAAAAATATGTGAATTGATAGTCATCCCCCAAAACAGATTAAATATTTTATAATTTAACCATACTGCAAATAATTCTAGATTACCATCGACAGATCCTTGCTGAATATAGGAATGAATTCTTTTCTGTTGATACGCAAATCCAAAGTGTTCATCAGCATCTGTGTTCCCTGATGTGATGACACTATTTGATAAGACATTGTTATAATTTTCGTCCTTTTCATCCAAATCAGACATCGGAACCGTTGCCACATAATTTTTGTACTCTGATTCAGTTGGTATTTTTCGAAGAATACGTCTGTTGCTTTGTAAGGTTGTTTGATGTCCTTCTGAGTTAATCGAAAATACTTGCAGTTTTAAATTGTCAATTTGTTCCTCGATTGATCCATCCCATCCAACATGGTCCAGATCTTTGAAACCTGAAACTCCAGAAATCAGGTCCGAATTACTTCCTTCAGTAGAATATTCTGGCAGATACTTATTATTTAGGTAACTGTCAAGAGTCTGATTTCCTATGGTATGTACTTGATTTTTATGCAATAAAGGAAAGTGATTACAAAGAGCAACTGGTCTTCCATCCTGTTGTTTGTCTTGTTGTGTACCTGTAGTTGAATACAAGCTTTATTTTAAGACATATATTAAGAAATTTGCAAGATGAAATATTGAAGCAAGTAAGCTTAGTGAAAGTTAATTTCTGCATGTGAAATTATTCTTTTTAATATGATTATAAAGACAACCTTTATATCTACAATTTTGTTTATTTGGGCTCAGTTATAAATCGCAATTAGTGTTGAACAATATCAAGATTTCATTTTATCTGATAGCTCCTGTTCACATTTATTTAGTTGCATTCATATGCAAGAGTTAATAAAGATTCAGTCGAGATAAGGATGCACAAGTTTTATTTCCTGTAGTACCTTGATTTCCATGCAATAAAGGTAGTTGATCATGGAGAGGAATGCGTCTTCCATCCCGTTGTTTGTCTTGTCTTTTACCTGTAGTTAGATAAAAGCTATGTTTTATGAAAGACATGAACACTTGTAGACTTTGAAATGTTGAATCAAGTCTAGTTTAAATGGTCTGAGAGAGTGCATATTTCTGTATGTAACATCCTCCGGTTTTGGTGGGTTCAATCTTTAGTTTTCTACGTTGTGTTTTGTATACTGTTGTTTGTCGTTTGGTCTTTTTTTCGTTTTTTGAGATGCGTTGTCAGTTTATTTTTTAAATACGTGTTTGAATGTCCCTTTGGTATCTTTCGCCTCTCTTTTATGATTGTTTATTATATAATTAAAAGGGGCCAAAAATATTAAAGGGATATTAGTCGAAGACAAATGGACAATATCATTGGCAAAGAACGAACACGACGAACAGAAAAACTAGTTTAAAAAACACAACATGGAATAATAAAGACCGCGAAACACGAACCCACCGAAAAAAAACAAAACAAAGATGATATCAGCTACTCCGGAAAAGGTATGCAGATCCTGCCCTACATGTGACACCATCATTCGGGTTTGGGAGTATGGCTGATGCCCAAAAAAATAAGTTACCAAGTATAAAACACTATTTTCCCTTCATAAGAAGACACAAAATAGTTCTCTTTCCATTTATTTACAGTTTAAAGTGTTCCTGTATGGATTGTTTCAATTTTGACACATCTTAATAAAACTAAAACAAAATAACGTTGATATTATTTATTGTGTCATCTGTCACTACATTTATATTTATTAGACACCAGTTCAATCTGCATCTACATAAGGCTTATTCAGGACAGTGAATAAATTAAGTTGAATAACATATGGTGGATCAATAACATCTTAAATATACCTCTTGTAAATTAAGGGCATAAGGGGCCACATGCAGATGTGTTGATGCATCTATGTGTGATTCCTCCGTTGAAATCCCATCATCGAGGGCAATTCGCCTAATGATTATTTTTTTATACTTGCATGGCGTGGCAACCGTTGAGGAGTGTGGCTGTTCTCCTAAGTTCCTTTTGAAACAAAGGCCCCAACATTTTATATGTACGACTTTATAATTGTTTGCAACTAAGTGTACCTGATGAAACTGAATCCAGACTCACCATTTGTGTATACGTAAATATTATCATGCGTTTAAATTTTCGGCGCCATTACGAATTAGCCGACCTATACGATAGGTCTGTGTCTCAACTCACATGTTTTCTCGAGTTAAGATATTTGGATACCAGACTTATCTGTAATTTATCCGCTGTGTACTACTCCCGACTGTGGCATTTATATTTTGACTAAGTGTAGATTCGCTAATAGCGAGTGATGCATTCATTACAGGGGACCATTACCCTGTATTACGTTTGGGATTAATGCCATTGCAATAGTTTAAGTTTATTACATTTATTTTTGCATATTTTTAAACGAGTTATGAAATTTGGATATCTTTAAACTAATGTCGCCTTAGTCTACTTACGTGTATTCTGACATTCTGTTTTTATGCAAGATATGTTTGGTTCTGTCTATGAAATCTTTTCACTTTTTGGAAAACTTTCAAATATTCTATGACTTTCCGAATTTTGATAAAATTCAAGTACACATTTGAAACAAAAAAACAAATTGTAATTGTTTTCTGCATATATACTTACCATCTGTAAGACTGATGCTACCAGATAAGGTTATTCCATTTTTTCGCTTACATATAGTTATGATAAAAACTGACAACACTACCAGAGACACTCCAAGTACTGCGATTCTGAAAGTTACGAATTATGGTGTCTCTTTATATATACTAAAATTATATTCCTAAATATTTCAGCATCTAAATTGTTAATTGTACTACATCTTTCATGTAACAAACGATAAAACAGACTCGTCTTGGATACATACTTGTTGAATTGCTTGTTATTGGCTCTGAGCTGGCTTTCAGTAACTGCGGGTACTCTCATATCGGTACTTTGTGTCTAATGTTTTCATACTTGTTTTTTGTGTTTTTGTTGGGATCTAATGAGTCAAGCCTTTTCAATTGATTGTTATAGTTTGTTCTTATGTAGTGTTGTTACACCACTGTCTGAGGTTAGGGGAGAATTGAGTGCCAACACATATGTTTAACCCCACCAAATTCTGTATGTGCCTGTCCCAAGTTAGAAACCTGTAACTTAGTGATTGTCGTTTGTTGCTGTTTATCATATTTGTTTTTTGTTTGTTGTTTTATACGTAAATTAGGCCGTTAGTTTTCTTGTTTGAATTGTTTAACATTCAGCGATGTTTTGCTCATTGGTGAAGGTCGTAAACTAATCTATAGTTGATAAGTTTTTGTAATCTTGGTTCTGATGGATAATTGTCTCAATCATACTACAGATCTCCTTATTTTATACAGCAGTAGTAAGGCAATGTGAGAAGCTTACACATATAATCAAGGGTAATATAAGTATACTGGCATGACATTTGTAAAGTAATCCCGTAATAAATTTGTAGGACAAAACTTAAAACGGGTTTTTGTCGCTGTTAATGTTGTCGTTTTGGTGTTGTGTTTGACGTTGCCATAAAAGCGGGATATTTGGCATGCCACAAAACCAGGTTCAACCCACCATTTTTTTCTTAAAATGTCCTGTACCAAGTCAGGAAAATGGCCATTGTTATATTATAGTTCGTTTCTGTGTGTGTTACATTTTAATGTTGTGTTTTTGTTGTGTCGTTGTTCTCCTCTTATATTTGATGCGTTTCCCTCAGTTTTAGTTTGTAACCCGGATTTGTTTTTATCTCCATCGATTTATGAGTTTCGAACAGCGGTATACTACTGTTGCCTTTATTTAATAATCAAACGTCAAAATACTAACATAATAAACATCTTTGAATTGTCCTTCTGTGCGGCTTTACTACTTCTTAACTTGGAAACTGTAATGAAACATTTGGTAATACCGAAATAAGATTGAAAATATATTTAGTTTTACATTTGTTAAATAGACAAGTTTTTTTTCAAGTCGTCAAATTTCAAATGTAGTTATGCTCAGTTCTATATTGTTTAGAATATCATCAATATGAACATTATTAGTTGTAAAAAATTATCTATTCCATGAAACTCATTAACATATTAAATGATTGGTGGCGCGTCATGAGTTTTTCGAGTAAAATATTATTATAGGTGATTTTTAGTAAATGTCAACACGACGCATGCGAAGTTCGCACATCATGATCAACGTTCGAAAGCAGAAACAAACATTAAAGGTTTTACAGCAATAAAATCATTCTTTATAAAACAAGTAGAAAAATTTATAAACTCATGTAAATTCTAATTAATGACACAGAGGATTTCAAAGTCATCTGTTACATGTTTTCTATTACTTACCTTTAATTAAAGTGTCCGTCGATAGCTGTTGTTGTGGTTCCGAATTCATGTGGTGTTCAGTTTGTAATGATTGACTGTTTTTCTTAGGCATGAAGTCGACACTATAATGCAATTTAAACAAATAAGCAAGACGAATACGAAAAGTGAATATAGATTTGACTGTGACTATTTTGATTATTATTATTTTACAAAAAAATGTAATGTCATTTTTTCATTGGAAAATGACTGATCATGATAAAAAAAAGCTACGTATTCTCTCAATAAACATTTAAATACATAAATGCTTTTTAGAATGTAAATGATTTCCTTTGTAAGTTTGATAACAATAACAGGATATCAAACAGCGACGAAAAAAGACTGAAGACCCCCCCTCCCCCCGAAAAAAAAAGAAAATAGAACAATTTAACAAAGCCAAAGCATTGCGTACATCAGCCATACTAGGTCTAAATGTTGACCAATATGCACCGAAATTGTTTTCTTTTGCAAATGATATATGCATTAAATTAAAGCATTTAAGCCCAAATTTAAGATCAATATAAATCATTCTGAACATTTCTATAACACTGTAATTATATCATTCTCTTAATATTGTGTCATGCAAAATACCTAATTTTACGTCTGCATGGTCCGCATCCTGTCTCATTTTTAAAGGTGTCTTTTGGACATGGGCTACAAACTGAATATTAAACAAAACAGTTAAATTAATTAATTGATTGATCACAAACAGTTCGAAATATTTTTTTTGTCGTTTTTCTATATCGTATTGTAGAAAAATTGCCGAATTACTATTCAATGTTAAGACTTTATACGATAACTTTTGCCAGAATTAGAACTAACTTAGTTTTCGAACATTTCACATCGGCGAAGTCACTTAATATACATAAAACATTGTTGTCCATTCTGTGCTATTAACTACATAAATAAAGACCCACAAAATTAAACTTCGAGAAATCAAATATGAATAAAAAAGTGGTTTCACAGGAAGGTAAAATGAAACGTTAAAATCATAAATAGTTTATCATATGCATGTCATCGTCCTGAACATACAAGAACTAATCGTCACTGCATGCAACACTCAATTAATTTTATGCATGCCTCTTTGATGTCCAAATATAAAACAATTATTTCTAATGGCGTTAAAACTTTAAACAATGATGAACATATTGTACAAACATTAATGAGTGTGTCTTTATACTCTTTATATTTCCTGTGAAAAGTCAGCCTAAGTTGTATACACGTCTTTGACTGCGGGCTAGTTGTTAAATTTGACCTATAGTTACGAATTAGTAAAATGTTTTTGGGTTTTTGTACATTCAGTGGAAGTTTTTTATGCAGTACAAAGGGAAATATGTCAGTATTCGTCTAAATTGCGATTCTTGTTTATTTGTAGTACTTAAATGAATAAAACGTTGAATATCTTCTTTATGCATATCTTTATTTTATGGAAAAAAACTAAGAAAAAATTAACCAAAATTGTAACTTTAATATGAGAAGTAGCAATAAGTGCATTCATGATTTTGCTATAAGTTTCATTTCAAATAAAATTGTACAACACGAATATTGGCATAATGATTCATCAACGAATAAACCGGTTATATATGGCCTGTGGTATGGGATTCAACTTCAATTTTAACGTTTAAGTAGAACATGTTTCTGAAAAAAAACACTATCTGGTGCTAAGAGAATACTTAACAATATCATATTAAGATGCTCACATACCTCCTTTCTCATTCATTGTGTGTCCTACTGCACAAGGTTTGTTGCTGTCACATAGACAGGGATCCCCAAAGTAACATTTTGTTGTGTCACATTTGCACCCTTTCAAACTGTTACAAAAGACATCTTTTTCCGTGCGGCTGTGTATTAAATCTGATTTGTATATATTTTAAAGATCGTAAATTAATATTGTTTACATAGAAAATACATGTCATAATTTAACGAAAGATTAAAAATAAAATTTCATGAAACAATGCCATCAAAGATTTTCTCGTGTGATACATGCTGACAAGTGAAAAAAAGAATGATTACGCACGAGCTTTAATCTACAGACTATTGTTTTTTCTTTTGTTCGTACTTTAAACAATAACAAAAAAGGACAAACAAGAAAACACGCGATGTCGGGCTATGTATACCACTACTCGTATAGGATTACAGGAAGAAGTTATCTGACAGATCCAGATTATGCTCAAATATTACAACTAATCACGTATATGCTGCTGACTAAATATAAAGTCATCCTGCTCAGCGGTATTTCAGAAAAATGACAAAAAAACTTTACTCAACATATAGATAAAGTTAAAGAATCGGAATTATGTGACCAGAAAGTCCCCACAAATGCTCACAGTCACTGTGAATCTGCTGACCAAGTATGAAGTCTTTCTTGTTAGTATTAATTGAGAAAAGTGTTGCACAATTTTAAATTTCCTTAAAAACATAAAAAAACTCAAAGTTTCAGAAGACAGAAAGTATGTGTTCGACAGGTCCGACAAGTATTCACACATTACAACCGATCACTGCCAAACTGCTGAATAAGTAAAAAAGCATTACGTTTAGCAGTATCTGAGACAATTGTGACGGAAACATTTGTTGGATGAACCGACGAATGGCAGACGAAGGGATGTACGGACACACAGGCGGACGGACAGAAAAGGTGAATGCACTAAAGCTCAAATTTTTAGAGTGAGGTATAATAATTTGTTTTTGCAAAAAAAAAATAAATACACAAAACGACATCTACCGATGAAATGAACATCTATTTTTCTATAAATGAATATTTAGTTTTCTCGTTTAAATTGTTTTACACTATCATTTCGGAGCCTTTATAGCTTACTATGTGGTTGCTCATTGTTGAAGGCCGTACGATGACCTATAATAATAGTTGTGATCTTCTATACCATTTGTATCTGGTGGAGAGTTGTCTCATTGGCAATCATCCCACATCCTATATCTACACCAAACAAACCGAGAAATGTTAAGTTCATTCTTTCACATACAAATAAGCTTTGTATGAGATAAAAGTGTTTAACTAAAAGTTGAGAAACTTACCTCTTGCAAGACATTCGCTTCTTGGTTGAAAACATAAAGATTTACTAATGTTTTCAGTGGAGGAGATCAGATCGGGCTGTACCATATCTGACTTACAGGGTTTACATAGATCGTGCATGTAATTGTCGGTACAAGGTTGTATCTCATTACCTGTAATTTAAGAATTGATGTTCAAGTTTCTTATCTAAGTCGTTATTGAATCACTTTTAAATGTTTTCTTCCCACAATGCGATACGTATTCACCAATCAGTCATTGCAAATTCCCATTATGTTTAAGAAACAACAGACGTAAGGTATACTTCAATGATACAGCAAGCCACAAACAAACATATAAACATGTATTATAAGTAAATTTGTATTTGCAATAAGTAAGCCATGGGTGCTACTAGTAAAATATGAACTGCTTACCCTTTTAGTGAACCATCGGTATTTTGCAGGAAACGAATTACTCAATTTTTAGTTTTCTGGGTAGGGTTTTGTGGAATATTGGTTGTCTTTTCGTTTTCTTCATGGATTTTGTTGGACTTTTAAGTGGCACGCTGGTACCGTCTCTATATTTATTATCAATGAAAATATGCAACCACATGGATGATTGTTGCTTTGCTTTAACTTAAACAGTAAATCTTATTCTTGATTATAAGGAGATTGTTTCTTTTTAAAAAACTATGATAGGATTCTTTTGTGTTTTGTGAACATCTTAATAATTTCGCACTTTTTATTAAAAAAAAAACAGCTGGTGTAAAATCCCTTAGTCGTAATGACTGTTTATCTAGCAAACAGACGACTATTTATAGGTAAAATAACTAGAGATGATAAACCTGTCTAGTTTCCTAATATTTATTGCATAAAGTCGAGTAACAGGTTATTAACAAAGCGTCGTTTAGGAATGTAATATGTGCAAAGAGAACACATAGATGGTTAATGAGCTACATCTAAGGATATTTTTATGCAAAATGTTGAAGAAAGTTATATAGACAACACTAAAAAAACTAGTCGTAACGTGTCATTAATTCACTGAGGTACGTAAGAAAAGGACATTTTGCAAATATTGCTTAAAACAGCTTTTTCCTGTATAAAAAAACATTCAACAGTCAACTGCACATCAAGTATATAGTTTGTCTCGTGTAAAACAAAAACCGAACAAAAGCGATTGCATTTTTTTTTTCAAAGGTGGAAAAACTATTGCTTTTTCTGGCTTAACTTCGTGGTGTATTTATTAGAAAAATTACAGTATACATGTTTAAAAATTTAGAGCAGGTAAAATATATGTATATATAATAGAAACAACAATTTACAAATTTCCTGCGTTCGAAGTGTTTTTCTGAATTTACTTTCATCAGGAACCCTCGAAACCAAAAATTTAAAAGTCAATGATGTGTAAAAACCGAAACAGTTTAAGAGCTATATGACCAAAAAGGACCTAAAAATAACGGCTAATAGATATAAGAAGATGTGATATGAGTGCCAATGAGACAACCCTCCATCCAAGTCAAAATTTATAAAAGTAAACCATTAACACGGAGCCTTGGCTCACACCGAACAGCAAGCTATAAAGGGCCCCAAAATTACTAGTGTAAAACCATTCAAACGGGAAACTCAACGGTCTAAGTCCATCTGAGGTCAACTTTGCCTGACGGAGTTGAAACCTTAGCTTCTTTGTAATTTCTAAATTTCTAAGTAGACAATTTTAGAAAGGTTTGTTAGAAATCATGTCAGTACTGAATTACTGACTACAAAGCTGGTGATACCCTCGGGGACTGATAGTCCGCCAGCAGCAGTATCGACCCATTGTTTCGAACAAATGAAAACAACACGTAATAAATTGTATGTGTCAAAGGCGCTTTTCTGTATGACCTTCATCAGGAGGTGTCATACATTATATGACATCAGCTGCAATTCATATACATTTATGAAGCGTTTTATGGCGATAATTGAATGAGCTTTAAAAAAATAAAATACACCATACTAGTAAGTTTCGAACTGTTAATTCCCTTTGCATATACTTTTTTGTTATTACGAAATAGCATTTTTATTATGTTACAGATACAACCTCAATGTATTATCATATTTTATTAAAATCTAGATTGTTGCTTAATATCAAATTAATTTCTTTATAATAGTTGTGTAGCAGATTAACTTAATAACCAATTGGCCAATTTTGATTAGTATTTCAGGAATTTGTATTAATCCCTCAGGCAGATGTGAATTGAAAGAGTTCTGCACAAAGTAATAATTAAAAAAAATATGTTAAGAGGTAAATTATTTGATGTATCCATGCTATACAAAATATGATAAACTTCAATTTTAATTTCTTGCAACAGAACAAAACATGTAATTAAGATATCAAAGTATATGAAAATTAGATCAGCGTAGTTACTTTTCCTATTATAACATATTTTCAATTGATTTTTAATTCAGAATTACTATCTTTTGGCAATATGAATACAAGGAGTGGATTCAGATTTTTTTTCAGGAGAGTGTCACCAATACGAATTTTCATAGCTTTTTCATTTTTTTTATAATTTAGTCAGGAAGGTATTTAAAAATGAAACTGTTAACACATGGTTTATAAAAGTGAATAATATATCATTTTTGTTTGTTGGATGCGAGAAGAAGGGCTAACGAGCACACACATCAAGTTTTAAGTGTAAATCATAATGCACTTAGTGACAGCCCATGTATCCGCCTGTAGATGCAATCATAATAAATAAAACATAAAAGAGGATAACAGGAATCGCCAAAAATACCGCCTATTACAATAAAATTGAGAATGGAAATGGGGAATGTGTCAAAGAGACAACAACCCGACCACAGAACAGACAACAGCAGAAGGCCACCAACAGGTCTTCAATGCAGCGAGAAATTCCCGCACCCGGAGGCGTCCTTCAGCTGGCCCCTAAACAAATATATATACTAGTTCAGTGATAATGAACGCCATACTAAACTCCAAATTGTACACAAGAAACTAAAATTAAAAATAATACAAGACTAACAAAGGCTAGAGGCTCCTGACTTGGGACAGGCGCAAAAATGCGGCGGGGTTAAACATGTTTATGAGATCTCAACCCTCCCCCTATACCTCTAGCCAATGTAGAAAAGTAAACGCATAACAATACGCACATTAAAATTCAGTTCAAGAGAAGTCCGAGTCTGATGTCAGAAGATGTAACCAAAGAAAATAAACAAAATGACAATAATACATAAATAACAACAGACTACTAGCAGTTAACTGACATGCCAGCTCCAGACTTCAATTAAACTGATTGAAAGATTATGTCTTCATCATATGAATATCAGGCACAATCCTTCCCGTTAGGGGTTTAGTATCATACCATCATAACATATATGAGAAGAACATAACCCGTGTCATGCCAACAACTGGTTTTTAAATAAATGTGTTTAGTGCAGATGCAAAGACCCTATAAGTGAATCAATATCAACGCCAAAATATGCAATCTTTAATGACCTGACAACAGTATCGTAACTATATCCCTTCTTAATAAGTCTATTTAAAGGTTTTGTTAGTTTCAGAGGTGAATACTGACATTTTTGTGCTTTATAAAGAATATTTCCATAAAAAATTGGATGTGAAATACCTGAACGTATAAGAAGTCTGCATGTTGAGCTATATTTACGAATGATGTCCTTATACCGATGATAAAATTTAGTAAATGTTTTGACTAGTTTGTGATATCGAAAACCCTGGTGTAATAATTTTTCAGTAATACATACATTTCTCTCGTTAAAATCTAAAACATTGTTACATACACGAGCGAATCGTACAAGTTGAGATATATAAACACCGTAAGATGGTGACAAGGGAACGTCACCATCTAAAAATGGATAATTAACGATAGGAAATGAAAAATCATCTCTTTTATCATATATTTTAGTATTAAGCTTTCCGTTAATGATATAGATATCAAGATCGAGGAAAGGGCAGTGGTCATTGTTAGTATTAGCTTTATTTAAAGTAAGTTCAACAGGATAAATTTCTTTAGTATACATACTGAAGTCGTCATTATTGAGAGCCAAAATATCATCCAAATATCTAAAAGTATTATTAAATTTGTGTATCAGATGTTGTTTCGATGGGTCTTTACTGATTTTTGTCATAAATTGTAACTCATAGCAATACAAAAAAAGGTCCGCAATAAGTGGTGCACAGTTAGTCCCCATTGGAATTCCGATAACCTGACGATATACGGAATCTCCAAAGCGAACAAAAATGTTATCTAGTAAAAATTCAAGGGCATATATAGTATCAAAGCATGTCCAATTGACATAGTTTTTTTGTTTATTGCTACTAAAAAATGACCTAAAAGAGTTTGAACATATATATTCACATTCTGACTTTTTAAATGCCCATTTAATTAGGTGTGTGAATTTTTTCTTAATGAGAATGTGAGGCAATGTGGTATATAGGGTAGAAAAATCAAAACTTTGAACAGATTCAAAATCACCAATATATGCATGCAATTTATCAAGTACTTCCAACGAGTTCTTGACACTCCAAAAGTAATTAATTCCACTATTTTCGAAGGCCTTATTTGAACAATTTATTATCAGGTTTTTGATTGTACCAAGTGTACTGGTAAGAAGAATAGACAATTTAGTAGTGGAACAATGGCTTGAAGACGAAATGAATCTATATTTGTAAGGTGTTTTGTGTAGCTTCGGAAGCCAATACATAGTTGGGACTTTCATTGTATTTGGTTCTGCTTGTAAAGCGGTAGCTAAAAGTTTATGTTTGTTACAGATGTCGTTTTCTGAAAATGGAGTCAGTTGGAATGTTGGTGAATTGGTGATTTCTTTTTTCAGAACCTCAATGTAAAATTTACGTCAAACAATAATAATATTATTAGCAGCTTTATCGGCCGGGACAAAAACAAATTCCTTGGCTAGTTCTTTTAGTTTATGTTTGATACGAGAAATAGGTTTATTGTGGTTATTGTTAAGAGTAAAATGTTCTTTAAAATGTTGAATACGTATATCAACTATGTTCATTACTGATTTAAAAAAAGAGTCCAAAGATTTTTTGTCAGCTTTTTCCCGTTTTATCCATTTCAAACAGTAAGTATGGAGTGAGTCGTGGATGATATTACGACACTCATTCCAATTAATAATTGACGGGGGACGATATTTAGGTC